CCCCAAAACCCCAAAACCCCAAAACCCCACAGCCTGATCACTCTACTGAATCATTAAAACTCAAAATCTACACACAATTACCCAATGAAAATTACCTTTTCCAATTCCTACGTCCAACTATCCATCTACTAAATTCACATCTAAACTCTGAACAACAAACTGTACTGTCTACACATCAACACAAAACCTTACCTCCAAATTCAAGCTGAATGCCGCTAAAAGCTTGTTCTATCTGCTGCTTCTCTGACTTCTTCATGGTCACGTAGATGAGTCTGAGTTTGGTGGTGATGTTGGACTTGAGCTTGAGGATGTGGGGCAGGTAAGGAGTTATGGGCTTATCGCTTGGGGAGAAGTCGATGAAAAGAGTGTGGAGTTTGGGAGGGATGCAGGTGGAGAGGAAGTGGATGTTGTCAGCTGTATGGGAGGGAGTGATGGGAGGGTGAGGAAGGAGAGAAGGGAATATGTTGTTTTGGAATTGTGGTGGAAATGGCCAACCCTTCCAAACTTATCAAGTCCTTACCTTGACTGGTTAAGTTAATGTCATACAAATCCAATAAATCTAAATGGCTGAGCATTTGCTTGTTCACTAATGTAATCATCGCCTTGTGCACTTCTTTTCTCATATCAAACCTAATGCTCTTGCTGGAGGATAATTTGTTTAGAAATTCAGTATCTTCTCTGGGAATCTATGCTGGTCACCAAAGGTTAAAGCTTTATTACTTGAATTTCATTCTTGATACCTAATACCTTGAGAATTGCAAGCTAGATTTTAAAACGGATATTACTGAGGTCAGGTTTTGAGTAATCACTTCTTTGGTCATGCTTTGTGTCTTTTGTATTTCATCAATGGATTTTATGAAGTCTTCGTTTGCGATTTGACTTTCTGTATAAAATAATTGTCGGGATTAAGAAATAGAATAAAAGGATATCATTGGCTTTGTGAATTGGTTCATACCTTTGAGAGATTGAAACAAATCTTTATTTTCTTTCTGATTTTGATTCTGGATAACCTTCAAAAAGTCAATGTCCATCCAGACATTTTCTATACTCTCAGAGAGAGCTTGCTGTAAATTTAGACAAGTATTTTGGAGGTGTTTAAAAGAGGTTTCGATTTTATCGTTTGTTTGGGAATGAGTTGTCTTTAGTTGCTCCATGCTTGCTTCTATGGGTAAAAGTAGGAAGGAGTAATGGCGGAGGTCAATAATGTGCATTTTATGTGGAATTGTGGTAATGAATTTTAAGAACTTACGAGATTTATCAGAAACTTCTTTCATATCTTGGAAATTGCTTTTGAGATCAGAGATTTGACTTGCTTGTTCCTTGTTTTTTGTTTGGGCCTTCAAAAGTTCTCTGTCAAGCTTAGTATTCTGAACTTTTAGTTCATCCACTTGAGCTGTTTGCTGCTCAAGTCCTCTTATTTGTTCTTTGGCAGCTTCAAGCTGGCCAACAACATCATCTTTCTCTGCAGTAATGGAATCATTTTTGTTCTTGAGATGATCATTCTGAATCTTAAGTCCATCAATTGCCTTGTTCAATTTGATATTGGTATCAATTTTCTCATCTCTAAGCTCACGACAAGTTTTCTTCAGGTCCGCGTTCTCAGCAATCAGAAGATTACCATTCTGGGCTCCAATCAGTCTTAATCTGGTGCTCTCTTTGTTCATGAACCTAAATATTACACACCAAGATTACTTCAGATATTCCAATAAGATGTTACTTTCTCTCCATTCTTGCTTCAGTGAGTCTATAGAGTTTAAGGATTTGACCCAGAATCTACGCAAAGACATACCAATATTGTGCTTGACATCAATAAACTTTGGCCATTTCTTGTGCTGAACAAGCAGCTGAAGGTCTTCTTTGAGGTCGTTTGTCTTTTTTCTGAATTCCTCAAGTTCTTTAATTAAATGAGTCCATTTATATCTTAGAGTTTTATCATAACTAATCATCGATTCTACTGATTTGATGTTGACATCGACTATATTCACAGTAAGACACAAACCATCAGAATCAAAATTATTTCTCTAAAACTGGAGAGCCTCAGAGTCAAGAGCAGGTGAACCCCCACTGATGGACTACCGACCATGAGTGTTTCATAGTAGGGTCCATGTGTCTCTCCTCGTCTCTCACATCTCTCCAAGAAGCACAAGGTTGATCTTCCAGCGTACCTAAATCAAGAGCATATTGGCATTTCTTGGGGTCGATCAGAGTAATCACATTGTCGTCATCGTGATTAGAGTCTACACAGAACCCACACACATATCTTTCATTGTAAGTGACAAACTGTTCAGCCTTACGGCTGCAGTGAGGCAGATAGCAAGTTAATGCTTCGAATTTCTGCATATTTAATTATTATAAATGTTCTTAATTTTCCAGCATTTATACTTGTACGGGGTTTTGGGGTTTTGGGGTTTTGGGG